CAATGGGGGTTTTAAACATACTTCACACTATGAACTTCAAAACATCAGTCTGCAGTATAATCCCCTTACCTATCTCGGGCTTGTCGGCGTCGGCTGCTATTATCTTCATGCCATAAAGGTGGAAATGGCTTTATATCTATTGACGTCAAGATCTGCAAATTGAGCTTCCATAATGAATATCGCAATCCACTTGTTTTGCAATAAATATTCAGCAGTAAATAGACTGGCAAGAAAACATAGACATTTGAGATACAAGAAAATAGATTCTCCTAAACGCAAATAGAGAACCTAATCTTCGATTTTGGTTAATACAGAGATGGACTATACAGTTCATGACGATCTCCGTTGCGGTAACATACCTTTTCTGGAATGATCGCTCCTCTTGGTGGTTCTGGGATATGAGAGTGTTTGGCAGGATTCAGGTATGTAACATTTCTGGAAAATGTAGAGGAAAAAATACAAGTGAGTAAATCCGGACTTCATCAGGTCCATAAAACACTAACTTCTGAAGCACAAGAAACGCACAAGGCTCGGTTCTGCTCAATGCATGGCAAACCACTGATAGGGGAAGCCACTTTAGATTGGAAACCATTCCTTTCACTAAACCAGAGATAACCATTCATCCCTTGGCTGCAACAAACACAAGAGGATCGAGATTAAGAACAAGCTCAATATTCAGACTACACAGAGCTTGTTAATTGCTAGTTTAGCCAATCAAAGCTAACCTAGAATTCGTGTCAATAATCCATGGAAGGCATTCGTGTGGTGGCAGCTGGTGGTAGAATTGGTAGTACTGCATAACCCGCTGGCCCAATGGATGATTGGAGTGTACATATAACAAATCAAGCATCACGCTGTTGCGTTGCTGTTCTTCCACCTGCGAGATTGATTCCATATTGAATATTTAATAACTAATCATTTTCAATCCTAGTTACCACATGACACTGACATGAAAATTGATGGCTACGGCAATCTAAGCTGTAAAGCTACTTTATAGCTAACAAAGAAAATAACATCGTGAAGGTCCAGGAATTCATCTTTCATCAAGAATTACAGTTTTTTTTTGGGGAGATAATGTAGTTTTGACCAAACGATATTCATATGTATTTTGAGTGAAGATTCAGTCCAAACCGTTAGCGTTTTTTCAACCTTCCTTGTCGCAGCTAACAATAATTTCTCCTCAATGAAAGGAAGTTTTGCAATACCCTGGATCACAGCAAGTGCAAAATACACACATCAAAATCGGAAGAACAGAATTCAGTCACATTGTGATAACATCATCACTATATCCAAAGAATACAGACAACCAAGAACCTGCCAGGCGAAGCGCTTTCCATTCATGTCAATCTCAAAATCTGTAAATAGAATGATAGCTTAGGAGTATCCACTATCCAGCATAAATATAAAGAAAAGTAACCACACAAATATATTAAGCAGGGTAGAATTTCAGGTAGCTTTATAGCTTAAATATACCAGCAGGGTAAAATTTCAGGATCGGGGATGAGGGGTCAGTCATCAACTTCTGGTATTCTTCAGGCAGAGCATTTGAACTGCAATAACCAAGAAACACAATTACCATCACCACATGTGCCCAAAATAATAATTATTTGAGGTTCCATAAAAAGGAAAGAACCTTGCAGCTGGCAAGGTTCCCATTAACTGGTCAAAAGGTTTAAAGGGCTCTCCAATGAAAAATGTGATTTCCAAATCAGATAGATTCTTAAGATCTGAAGCAAATGGAGCATAATGGTATGGGTAAAACCTGCAAAAATTAAAAGAAAGGGTTATAAAACACAGTTGCATTCAAAATTTTCAACCTCATATTTCTCAACAAGTGACACCAAACATCAAGGTCTTTCTCGAGAAAAGACCTATCAGTCTACTATAAAATAAGATTCTTAGAATGCATGGCTCTCATGGGAATAACATAACATTCTCAATGAAAACTTTTTGTAAGTTCTAACTGACCATTGCCAAGAGCATACACCTTGGTAGTAGTACCGACAAACCCAACACAAACCTTCAACGTATTTTAGTACCTACAAGGAAAATAGGTCATCATAAGAAAATTTCATGTTCATCTAAAACTGTCTCAGGAGTAATTTCAAGAAAGAAGTTAATACAGCGCTACAGACCTCCTTCAAAGATAAAAAGAACTATGCATATATCAAGGCGCTAAAATTTGGTAAATCAAAATCCTTCGAGATGAGAAACTTAATGGAATGTTAAGAATCTAAATGCACACGAAATCACATTAGCGCATGGCCTGAAGTAACCTTTATTCAACTTTCGACTTATTATAACAAATCAGAAGGATGACAGAGAGAGTTGATTGACGTAAAACTCACCAAGTCTTGTTTGATTCGCTCAGTTTCCTCTGGATTTGTCGTACTAAATTTCTCAGCATAATACCTCTCCTTGTAGCCGGGCTCTCCTAGCTTAATCTACACAAAATAAAAGAGCAATTTTAGTTGTACCTCCTTAACAATTTCCCTTGTAAGATATAAGAATCTCTCCAGCTCCCAGGCTAAGAGAACACTGCAATAATCTATTTTACCTTATCGTCTATCGGTTCAGGTGGTACCTCAGATGGGTCTCTTCTTGATCTTTGTTTCATTTCTTCATTGTTGTCCATTGACTGATACCAACATTAGCACACCATTAGCCATAACTTATGCAGTTTCAGCTTAACGGAAGAATATGATACAAGCTCATTGATTAGATGTAGAGTTAGTTATTGCCTTATAAGGAGCACCATTCACTCAAAAGCTAGCTTACAGGGTGAGTTCTACCCATTATCCTTACAAGGATTGGATTGGCCCTACTATTACTACAGGATTACTATCAACTGGTACCAGAGGCTACCACAGGGTAACAACGCAATACAGTAGAATGATGAAACTAGAAAGGGATCACAGACGGGGTAGAGAGCCCCAACGAAGTGGTCAGTGCGCACCCTACTTTCTTAAAGCCTCCAAAGATTGCATAAGAGGAAATATGGGATAGGTAAAGAGTACCTGTTTTATTCGCGTCCTTTTCTGAAATATTTTATCTTCATTTACAGCGACAGCTTGAATGAAATGCTCTACTCTATCTAATAAAACCTATCAATGCAGAAAAGAGAAGATTGTCAATGGGTTAATGGATTAAAAAAACACGTAAGTCCATGGAAATAATGCAGTTTAGGTAATCATCTAGGCAGACAAAATAGAAACGAAGCAATTCAAGTGAATAGTTGCCATAAGATAACTGACCATTTTCTAAAGGTCATACAAAATAGGGTATTGAGCAATGTGAAGCGAGAATGAAATGAGGTAGAAGGTAAAAAAAAACAATAACTTACCTCACCAGAATCTGTTAGATAGCCTCCCATAGCTGTAAACTCCTTTCTGTAAACATGCATCAGCAAGTTTATGGCTCCCTGAAGTAACAAAGAAACTGAGTATAACGATAAAAAAATTAAGTTAAAGACTATTTTGTCTGGGCATTATAGTCCGTGAAACAGGATACTGATTCTCCACGGGGTTATTTATGATTATATTTTACAATCAACAGAACAATCATGTGATGCATAACAGCCAATCTTTTAAGGAATGAAAAGATTCCATAATGTACATACCTCTCGAATTTCCAATGTAGGCATATGAGGTAGGAAGTCATTGCCAACAAAGAAACAAAGGAATACAAAGTCGTCAATAATTCTCTCGAAGTTGATAATGAAAGGAGGATCTGGAATGGCCAATTCATATTGTAGATATTCTCGTAACACCCAAATGTTCAGGAACTATAAAAAAGAATCACATCAGACAGATATGAGAAATCTCCAAAAGTAAGGATAAAAAAGGCATGTTCTTTAACTGCAGCAAGATCTCTTGGAGATAAT